GTGTTCTGAAGATATGATCAAAACAAAAGTACATTGATAAGAGTCAAAAAGGTATTCAAAGAATATAGGTATCCCTACTGTTTGATGATTGGAAACTGACAAACTAAAGAGAAATCTGTTAGTAGAAATAAAATATTAACCTAAGTTAGCCAAAAAGGACCAGGCAAATGATGTAAAGACAACTAAAAGTTTGTAAACCAACCTAATAAAATGTAACCATCACTCATATATTATCTCTATATCAGACTGCTAGATTTAGTAAACAAAAATACAAGATGCCTAGTAGTGAAACTGAAATTTCAGAGACACAAGACTTTTTTTATTTAGTATGAGTATGTCTCAATGCATATATCATTCTATTTGGTGCATACCTATATGAGAAAATGTTCATTGTTTGCCAGAAATTCAAATTTTACTGAGTGCCTTCTATTTTATTTGGCAATCCCATCATCACACTGTTCTAATTTGGGGAGCAGCACATAGTTAGAATCTTATCTGTGATGAGGCAAAAATTATGAACTTATGTGTATTCACAGTCTTAGCATTTCCCCTGCCAACTAAAACCAATTTTACAGTTTGCCATTTCAGTTATTCCCTCCTCCCACTCACTGCAGAGGGTTCTCTTTGGTTGCTAGGTTGCCAAGCTCTGTGGGCATTGTGATGTAGACTTCCAAGAACTTTGAAGAGGTATAAATGAGCAGGTAAAGGGCAGAAGGAAAGGAGGAGAGCAGACTGGGCCAGTGAATCATATCTGTTGGAGAAATCTGTACCACTGAGAAGGGAGACAAAGGGTAAGCTGAAAGTATGAAAGGAAAATATAAAGGAGTTTAACAAGTACTTCTTAGTCTATGTATCCTTTTTATAGTATTTAAATATCGTTTTGAAATTCATTTTGGTTGCTATTATTTTTTGACAGAGGTGTTACTCTGAGACTTGTTTTGGGTCAGGCCTTCAGTATGTTCACATATGATTCTGTGAATATATCTCAAAGGGAGAAAAGTGCCTCATTTTATTTGTCACTAGACTTTTTGAGTGACAAAATATTTCAAAGTAACTAACAAGTTTGGGGAGGCAGAGAAATTAAGGTCCCTCAGATGAAAGAGTTGGGGCATAGTGAGGAGTTTCCTGACACTCATAAGTAAATGGGGCTCAGAGGCATATGTTAATTGAGAAACTTTCATCCAGCATAATGTGCAAGTGTACCGTGAAGTTTGTCAGAAGGGAAAGATGAGACCCTCTATTCATGTAAAGAAGTTTTGACTGAGCTAATGACCATTAATGTAACTTGGTATGCACTTTTTAAACTTTTGGTAGAAGGAAAAACCATTCTTACCAGAGCATACAAGCATTGGAGGCCACAGCTTTTTAATAGAATATGAACAAACTTCTGTGAATTAGGAGGCTAGTTGAATATGATTTAAAAAGGTTCAAAATAGAGTGGTTCATGTCACATATATTTAAAATGTCAACAGGCCTTGTATATAAAACTCTGAATCAGAAGAGGAAGTATTTGAAAACACCAACTCGAGTATTTAGTTTTTGTTCTCTATCACTTTTTACAAAATTGGCCTTTAGAAATATATAACTGTAATACTGTACCCAATACTGTACAAGGACCCAAAGACCAATCCAAAATGTGTCTTATTATAAGAATTTTAAACATTATAGTTTTAAGAGATATCAGGCACATTTACATTTATCTTGGTGAAATATAACAATTTTGTTTTTTGTCTAATAAAGAGTGAAATATATATATATTTTTTATATATATATATTATTGTGTACACATGTACACAATAATATATAATATATATATATATATATATTTGGCTGAGTTATTAGAAAATGATAAAGAATATATTATGTATATTATATACAATATATACACAATAATATAAAATATATATACATATTTGG